CCTCCTCCTCCTCCATTTGGTCCTTCTCATCTTCATCACCTCCTCGGATTCCTATAATTTTAATGCGCAAACTGAAAACGTTTCATGTTATTTATAGCTGTTTAGGCTGGACAGAGCTAGCGCTACAGGATCTAGCATATGTCATTTACCCAGCATAATCAACATTGTGACTTCCATGTGACCATATTTTATTTAAATTTATTGAAACTAAAATGTTTACAGTATTGTTACCGTATTGCGTTTACATTGAAAATAAGTATTTCTTAAATAGTCGATTGTTACTAATAATCAAAGATGGCAAAAGTACTCACTTTCCGTACTTGAGTAAAAGTACAGATACTTGTGTTAAAAAATACTCTGGTAAAAGTGGAAGTACTGGTTAAACTTCTTTACTCAAGTAAAAGTAACAAAGTACAGGCTTGTAAATTTACTTAAAGTATAAAAGTAAAAGTAGAAACCACTTTTTTCATGCCGTTGCCTACATTTTAAATGGATGTCTGCCAATAGGACTAGATCTCCGTTGTGTTTATTTTCAATCATCTCGTCGTCCATACTACTATGCTAACGCCACCGCCACCAAGCTGCAATGATTTGCCGCCAATGAATACCGCCGAATCTGTCGATTCATCTTGTAGTGGTGCGTCAAATGCAACGTAGATTCCCATCCAATTAGATTGAATTTGGTATTGATGATGAAGTGAAAAATAATAACGGTAACTCCATTGAAATGATTCAAAACTAAAGTAACGAGCCAATTTTTTAAAATGTAAGGAGTAGAAAGTACAGATATTTGTGTAAAAATGTAAGGAGTAGAAGTAAAAAGTTGCCATAAAAATAATTAGTAAAGTAAAAATATCAGAAAAATCTACTTGAGTACAGTAAAGAAGTATTTGTACTTCGTTACTTCCCATCTCTGCTAATAATTAATGGATTTCTGTAAAGCAGGGTTAATTACGCATCAAGCACTGATTCTGGGGGCTGAGTGCAAATGCATGCAACACTTATAGATTTTTTATTTCTGTCAGTCTTAGGGATGTGAATACTTTTCCAAGGCACAGCATCAACATGTCAGTAAGAGTATAAATATTGGATTCACTGTTTGAGACATACAACTCTCTGTTGGGGACGCCAGAAGCAGACTTCATAACAGGAAGCACTGCTTAGCGAATAATGTTACAGAAAGCAGAAAGAGACGGCGTTTCTCTGATGTGACTGGTGATAAGATCACTTCAATATTTAAGTTAAAGTAAGACAAGAAAGAAAAAACGGAAAGAAAAGTCATGACTGAGAGCACAAAGGATGATGAACCACATCCCAAATCCTCAGCTGTTATTGCTACATTTCCCAGCATCTGACGATCTTGTGGGTGAAGGGCCAGAGCTGAGTGTAAACAGCGTATTTTATGTTTGAAATGTTCCAAAGTGGTTTTAAATCGTGCTGCATGTGGGGACAGCGCTCAAAAATATCTCTTTGTTGATAGAAGTGGATCCAAATTTAGACTCACTTTAGCTTTAAAAGTTCAAAACAAAACACGGGGCATGTTTTCTTCCAGTAGTGTGAAACACGTCCAGCTGTTCTTCATGAGACCTGTAAAAGCTCCCAGTTGATCCACATGGTTCAAATGTAAAGCGCTTATAGGGGCCAACAACAATCTGTTGCACACTTGCTGTGTGCCAGACTTACTTTCTCCTCTCACACACTCTGCCCTGACTCATAACTAGACTCACAGAAAAACAAGGGGATCAGATGACTCTGGTTAGACCCGCGCACAACATAAGTGCCATTTTTACTCCCTTTACGAAAAAAAAAATGGTTTGCCAGATGATCTAAAGAGATGCTTCATTAACTTAAAGGAAAACAACCACTATGTGCCGTCTTGTAAGATGTAAGACTTTAAGGTCCAGACAAAGATTACTACTGTTTTTAAAATATTACACCGAATTATTTGGTTGATTACAGGAAAGTTACATAATTGTTCTTATAAAGATCATTGAGATAAAAAAAAAACAGAGTGGCCTTGCTGATCTATTATAGGACAGTTTATTTAGGTCACCACCAGAAGAGTGCATATTTATTCTTCAAGCAGAAGAGCGATACAAAAAAAAAAAAGGGAGAAATTCAGCACAAATCTGTATCTGAGCCTGTAAATTTGACCATGCATTTTTGTTTTATTGCGTTTCCTAGAGGAAGTGAAATAAAAAAAAGTTGACAGAGCACTCTATTGATGACCTTATCACTCACACACCTCCCCCTAAAGACTTTCCACATCCAGCTGATCAAGAGTTTAGTGTTTTCTAGCTTTTACAAGCAGGGTTGACATGTCCGGACTTATCCTACTCTCTGTCTGAATTAACACAGCTAAGCAGTCCCAGCGCTAGAACCCTTAACCCTGCTGCTTTGTGCCCACCTGGACCTTCCAGGCTGCTGAAATAAGAAAACCCTCTCATCCCTGCTGCTTTTCTGTTTCGGAGCAAAAGAGACAACAGAGAGATGATCTGAGCTATAGGAAATCTCTTCATCAGCAACAGTGGAATAGCACAATATGTTCAAAGTAACAATAGGACCACAGTGACTCCTTGCCAGACAAGCAGTCATTAATGTGAAGCAGCAAAACAGGTTTAAAACTGGTTCAAACTATTTGTAGCTGTCAGTAAACCAGATATTAAAGCTTTAGAGGCAACAAAAATATTATTGTTATCATTAAGAAAAAAACAATCATATCTGCAGTTTAAAAGATTGGTAGCATGTTGCATTAGCAGATTAGCCCAAAAGCGTGGTTAGCCATACGAAATGTAAACATTAGTCCAGTATGTTTAATTACAGAGTAAGTTTCAATGGATAAAATAGCTTTACTCCATTCAGCCTTCCTGTTCAGTAATTTATTCAGCTCAGGTCGACCCTCCCTTTCACTAATTGAATAAAAAATCATTGAGGCACTATGGGTTGACATCCTGTGGCAGACATCTTTCATTTTACACCATGAAAAGCCAATAAACAACCTGTAAAAATAGGAAATTGCTAAGAAAGTCCTAAAAGTGTTTTTTTTTTTTCTGCAGTTACAACTTTTACACTGAAGAGCGTGCAGCTTCAGGATGACCTAGTAACATACTATTGTTCAAGCTAAAGGAAAAAAAAAAACCCACTGGATTTTGGTCAGCTGACGAGGTGTCTGTGAATCACCAGTTCCCAGTCTTCCCGCTAGTTCAAAGTAGCAACGCGCACATGACCTGTACACGAATAGTACGGTTATTTTTGATGTAGCTTTGCATTGTTACATTGCTAAGCTATAATTAAACCACACTGTTCCCTCTGTGCCCTCAACCTTGACCAGTCATATCTCACAGCTTGTCTGGGTCAGTGTTTCCATATAAAGGATCCAATAAGGCTGGAGATGAAAAAAAAAAAGCCATGGGTTCAAATCCAGAAGCCACCAGGGAGCATATGATTACAGTGTGTTTTGGAGTCTTTATTATCAGCAAAGGAAGAGCTTGCTCAGGCCAGTCAGCAACCTAGCAGCAGTTTCATAACATATGTAAACACAGAGTCCATGGCTGATTGACTGCAGTTCATCTTATCATGACCACACAACTCTTGCCCCACACTGCTTCTTGGTATAGTGCAACACTGGCGTGGACTTACCTAAGTGGCAATAAAATGGTTTAGCTTTTTTTTCATAAGCCTATTGTGATTTTAGCACTAAGATCCCATTGCATAGCCCTGCTCTGGCATAATTAGTGCAATTACAGTGAAAAAAAAACAAGGCTGTATCTCCTTCCTGGTAAACTCTTGTGCAAACAGAGCAAGCTATAAACAGGTTGCAGAGCCTAAGGCATCAAGAGCAGAAGTCTTCAACGTTTTCCAGGCCAAGGATCCTGAAACTGATGGCAAGATGGAGCGGGGACCCCCTAATTATACATATTGTATGAAATTGTGTTATATCAAACTGGGCCTATAGTCATTCTATTACAGATGCAGTAATGTAATTAATGTAATTTCTCCCTTGGATTATTAAAATGTTTCTGATTCCTGGTTGATGGGACGGGTGTTGTGAATGAAACGGTGCCCAGCTTGAAAGAGCTGCTGTGTGTTGCTGAATGTGTGCCTTGATGACTGAAAGACATCTTCTGCCTCCATTTATCTGTTTACTACAGTGTGTTTGATTCATGTTAATGAGTATTTAAAGATATTTAAATTATTGAAAAAATTGCAAGGGGGAATATGAAAAAAAAAACTTTCACAACCCCCATGCAGTACCTCAGTGGACCCCCTAGGGATCGAGGACCCCCTGCTGAAAACCTTTGCCTTAAACTGTTGTTCTAAACCTCCCATATTTGCTCGTGAATTTATGTTGGGCTGAAAAACATTTTTAAAAACTTACTTTTTAGGTAACTACTATTATGGTATCAGGGATAAACCCACATCTGGACAATAATTATATATTACAGTACTGGGATATGTTGGGTTATAATAAAAAACCTCTACAGCGTCCCATGCCGATTTATAATAATAAAAATGAGGGCTGTAATAGAAATTTAAAGCAGCATTATTTCTTCCAGGCTTGAGAAGAGTTTTAGGGATGGAAAACAGACACAAATCATCGTTCTCTTTCCAGATGGATCAATGATTGTTCTAATGAACCAAAACTTTCGCAGCTCCCATGCAGTACCTCTGTGGACCCCCTTATTGAAGACCTTCGATCAAGAGCATTTAGCAGCAGCCCTGTGCAGATATACTGTGAACCAGGAGCTTACTGGGAGGATCAGTGTTTTGTGTCAGGATAGCAGCTAGAAGGTTATAAGGTTGGTGAATGGGAGGGGGGAGAAATAGGCAAAGCAAACAGCTGACACTGGAGTTAAAGTAGAGCAAACCACCTCCTCACCTACTTAGATCAGGCTTTGTTAATTCATGTGACCAGCCTGACCTGCTGTTACATAATCCCTCTCTAGATAGGGTCCAATCACTCTTGCAAAAATAATAAAATGGTAATACTGTCAACATACCTCTCTCGGGCTTCATGTTGTCCAGTGTCATCTGGTTGACTTCAGGGTCTCCTTGCTGTGTCACACGCCTGACAGTAACACCAAGGTGCTGAGAAACCCCCCCACCCTCCAAAACCCCTCTTTAAAAAAGGACCTACTGTTAGCTTTAGACGGTATCAGCTGTGAAGTCTGCGTGTCGTTGCCAACAGCCCCCCCTATCCAACAACAAAGCCTCGCTTTGTTAGCATGCTCCTGTACGCTTCCATCGAGTCGCACTGTATTGTCCAACTCACACAAAGACAGCTGATACTCGGAGCCTTTGGCTAAACCAGCTGTCACGCTGCTTGCTAGCGAGTAACCAATCAGTTAACTAGTAGCCTAACTAGCAAGCTAGCTCCTCTCTCAGCTGCTCTCGGGTTCCGCCACCTGAATCATAGTTAAGTCGGGATTCATTTCGCAGTGTCTCCCTCTCTCCCCCCCTCCACCTCCTCTCCAGCTTGTGTAACCGCCGCTACAGAGGTTTGCTATCTCAGCAGAGCTGCTAGCACAACAAACTCGGCTAACTAACCTTGTTTTTCCCCCAACTAACAGTTTCTTTAACGCAGCTTTACCGTCCAAACATCTCAGCTCCGACAGCGTAGCTCAGCCCAGCTACCAACGCTCCTTGTTTGGGTTTCTCTCCCCCATTCGGAAGGTAGTAGTGGGGGGAGGCAGGACTATGTACAGATTTTAGCCTTTCATTACGGTCACTAAATACTAACAAATGAATTTAGTCCACTTTTCAGGTCGAGCCTTTGCCATTTACTTCTTGCTAAAAACGCCACCAGCGCTGACTTCCTTTGTGGTCTTCATTAAAACTTTTGCAGAGCGACAACAAACAAGCAGACTCCGGCGGGCGCACACCGAGGGGCTCTGGGTTTAACCGGCGCGAGCTGGGTCACCAGACTCCTGCGCGCGCTCGAGCGAGCGAGACAACGATCTGATAAAATTCAGGCGAAAGGCGGATTAAAGGAACAGCGAGTCCTGCTAGTCGTGATGCTACTGTCTGCCTCCGCCACCTCACATCCCTCCCTGCTGCTTGTCAAAACAGATCAGCGCAGCTTCAGTCACGTGTCCCAACAACAGCCCCGCTCGTCACTTCCCTCCGGGGCCCAGCCAGAACTGGCTGCCATGGCAACCGCCAACTTGGAGCTGGTATCAAAACTTCTCCGGGAAGAACCCACAGCGTTTGATGGGATTAATTAAACACACACATATATATATATATATATATATATATATATATATATATATATATATATATATATATATATATATATATATATATATATATATCTGTGACGTCAGAGATAATTGGAGTGTCTCATTATAGAAACAGATGGGATGCCCCCCTGTGCCCTGATAGGTTGGTCCAATTCAGCGCGCGTTCATGTGAAGGTTCATCTTTTTCAGTCGTGAACATTTTGTTCTGGCTTTTCAAAGGCTTAGGTGTCTAAGATGCCCATATATCTTAGTCCAAGCTGTTAATGCCAGCCCTGCCCCATCTGACCCAGAGATCCTACTGTAGATTTTAGAATGGTTAACAATTTAAAACAACCCCTGGCCAGAGGCGTAGCCAGAACATTTTAATAAGAGTGGCAATGCAATAACCAATGCAGGCTGAGGGGGGGCCTAAAGCGAATAGGCGCCAGAACCTCAGGGTCAATATATATTGTTCCAACAGGAACAACCACAAACATCCGTGCTTTTTAGATTAAAGGTGTAGAGGACAAAATTTCTGTGGCAAACATCTTCTCCATTGTCATTACTTACCTACTTTTACCAAAAATTGGTTTGCATAAAATGTATATTTATAAGTACTAATATCTACATCAAATGGATGTTTAAGTTATTATTAAAGTAGTTATTTATCTATCATTTCACTGAAGATGACTAGATGACTTGCAGAGACATAATTTTCTCTTTACCTGATATGAAACAAAAATCTAGTTCTGAATAGAGCATGAATTCTGTATATACCGGTATCAACTTTAATGTTAATATTTTGATGTGCATAAACACAGAGTTTTAGTAGTCAAGTAGTAGTTAATATAGGATAAATTTAAATGTTTAATAAGTTTGAACATTCCCCTTTGAGAGTATTATGGTAAGGGTGGCAACAGGGGTGGCCAGTGATTGGCTGAGGGTTGCCATGGCCACCCCTGGCCCCCCATCTAGCTCTGCCCCTGCTCCTGGCATAATTAGATGGAAGGGACAATTTAAAGTTAAGCTTCTTGTCAGATAGTCTCATCAGCACATCTTATTTTGTCTTTGCTTGTGTTTAATTATTTACATTCGGATTAGGGCTGAGACAATGAATCAGTTAATTGTGATTAATTGATTATTGACATAATTGTCAATTAGTGTAACAATCAATTAATCGTTAACTGGAGTATTGAAACTCTAAAACATGCCTTTAGTTGACAGAGCGACCCACTTAGAGCAGCAATTATACTAAAATTGTAAAAAAATATATATATATTTATATGTAAACATTTTGCACTTAAGATAAAAAAATTTTCCCGTCTGTCAGTATGCTCTATCCAGAACTCCTCCACTGGAAAGGTTTTAATTTCAGCTGGTTTAATTTAGCAAATGGTCTTCTTTAAAGAAGCTTTGGCTGTCTGATTATTAATCAATGAATCGAAAAAATAATCGACAGATTAATCGATTTGCAAAATAATCATTAGTTGCAGGCCTAAGCACAATACATCTTTAATTTAAGGTCAAGGGTAATAAAACATATTTCTGATTTTGGGGGTTCTAATGTAAATTCATAAGCAGTTAATGTCTTACCTGTGGTATATACCGTAACTCTCTTAGGGATAGTATTTTCTATAAACAGAACAAGGAACAATGTTAAGTAGGAACATCTTAAACTAACAGCAGTTTAAAAAAAAAAAAAATCATTGTTGCTTTTGAGAACAAGGGTTTATGGATCATTTCATCTTTTTTAAATGTGTTTTCAGATTTAACTGATTTTCTGTGAAATGCTAAATGCTCCGTGAACTCCCCAGAGGCTTCAAACATCTTATGCTCTGGGCCAGCTATTGAGACTAGCCATACAAACCGCCACTAAATAGCTGAATTGTCACTTTATGGATACTGATTTCAGCAAAAAAAGTAAGCTTTAATAGAAAATTAGAGATGAACCAACAATAGGCAAGAGTTTGAAATTGGACGCTATTCCCTCTCTGAAAACCTTCTGTTTGTAAATGCATGTCTAATTTCAGTAAATGCATTAGAACTAAGAACTCCACTGTTTCAGTCAAAAGCATACCAAATAACAGCATTTTTCTTTTTGATCAACTTTTTAGGAGTTTATTTAAAATTTGATAAGGTTTAGGGTTTATACACCCTAAAGCACAGATGATTATGATGTTTTTAATCCCTCAACCTTCTGTTGAATTTAAACCCATCTGTCAAAGAACCAGAAGTACCTTGTTTTTATTCATTTCATATAACCCTTGAAAAAAAAAAAACTATATTGCCATATTTGGGAGACCTTAAAACATAATATCAGTGCATCTCTTCCTAAGGTCCTGATTCGGACTAATGCCTTGAATTAGTGTGTTTTCACTCAACATGCAGGTTATAGGGAAAAATTTTATAAGAACTGCAAATGGGCAAAAAAAAGCTTTTTAATTCAGTCCCTACTTTGCTTAAATCGTTCAGAACAAACGCTAAGGACACAACAAAGGCAAGAGTATCTGCTCTTACAAATATATACAGCTCACATTAAAGTATGAACTGCATCACAACTTTAAAATGAAAAAAGTCCTTTTTTATTTTGCTTCTATAGTTAACTTTTAGTGAGCAAGTGAGCAAATTGTTTTGCAAATTGCCTTACAAGTGTGCTGTTGCTCCAGCAAAATAGCAAAAAAAAGAAAACATGAATGTGGGTCATAAAGTCCAGAACAGTGCAAACACCTACCAGCTCAGTGTGGACTGTTATCTGATCAGAGGGCAAAGTTTAAGAAAGACGTGTAGGGTTGAAACTAAATATTGATTGCAAGAGGTTATGCAAACATTCATGCATCTACATTGCTAACCAGCTCTAAGCAACAGCCGTAACTGAGCAATAGATAACACCATGTCTTTCTGCTTAGCATCTTACCGTGACAATCTGTTGTGTAACACTTAAAATTAACTGACTGAGTCTGTTTAATGGACCATTGCTGTAATAAAGTAAGGAGATTTTCTTTGGTAATGATAAAAAACAAATCAAGCGTCTTATGCAACATTTAAAGCAAGAGTCTCATCTGACCAGAGGGGCGTCACTTAGACTTAGACCAACTTTATTGTCTTTTTGTATACACACAGTATATACAAAATTAAATTTTGATGCATACAGTTTTCCAACTGTGAATGGGAAGCTTACAGCACTTAAATTAACATTTACATTAATAAAGTGCAGCAGTGATCAGAAGAATATGATGCAAATGCAGTAGAAACATTTAGTTGAGTTCTGTTTAAAGGGATTTGAAAACTTCACCATGTAGTGCAGATATGATGTTTACAAGTATGATGCAGTCTCGATTTGTGACTTGATTAAAGTTTCAATGGTTCGGGCTTGCAGGTGGGGCAGTGGTTAGTGCGCACGACCCATGTATGGAGACCTTAGTTTCAACTGTCTTATGGCAGTGGGGAAAAGCTGTTGCAGACCACCCTAAACACACATCCCTAAGACGGAACATGGTAATGGCCGCATCATACCGGGGGAATGTTTTCCTTGAGAAACAAAAGGGATACCGGTGATTTTTTTATTTTTTACTGAAATAAATGGAAGTATATACAGGACAATGCTGAAAAAGAAACACAACCTCAGACAAAAAAACCTAAGCACTGATCAGTTTTAAATAATTAAACCATGTTTCCCAGTGGCCCAGTCGAAGCTCAGCTTTAAATCCAGAGGAGATTACGTGGCATGGAAATTGCTGTTCACAGATGCTGTCCGTCCGGTATGACAGGGGTTGAGCTGTTTTAAAGATCAAGTAACCTTTACATGTGCCGGTTACTTTCATCAAAGTTAAAGGTAGTTCTACTAAACATTGCCTCAGGGGGATTACACAACACACTTTACTGATTTTCTTTTGAAATAATGGAAAACAGTTTATTCAGAATAATTCAACAGATTTACCTGGTTATCAGCATAAATCCTGATTAAAATGCTTTGAATTTAGCTTTGTGGTTACAGTGTAGCAACATGTGCAAGGCACTGCATGAAGTATTTTCTTATTACCCTTAAGCCGATTTGCTTGAACCAGACTGTGTGAAAATTACCACTTCAAAAAGGGACTGTTTGCATCTTAAATTAGGTGCTGAGACTAGAACAGTGTTAATGTTTAAAATCATGAAAAAGTCCTTCTGGATTTGGTTAAAGATTAAAGGTTTGCAACATGTTCCAATTGGTTTCATTACATTTAACAAGATGCAATAATTACATATCCACTGATATTGACTCAGGTAGGTTTATGGAAACTATAAGCATATAGCTGATGTAAATGTATTTTGGAAAAAACAAAAAAACTTAACAGGCATGCCCAAAGTTGGTCCTCGAGAGCCGCTGTACTGCAGGTTTTACAGGTTTCCTTGCTTTCGCACAGCTGATTCTGATGTTTGCAGTTCAGTTAAAGCCTGTTAATCAGCTCTCAATGTAAATCAGCTGTGCTGGAGCAGGTAAACCTCTAAAACCTGCTGGACTGCCCTGGAAGACCAACTTTAGGCATGCCTGTCCTTAAGTAACAGCTAAAGTTTTTTTTTGTGCTTTATCCAAAATACATTTAAATCAGCTGAATGCTTATAGTTTCCAAAACCTACCTGAATCATTATCAGTGGATACATAATTATTGCATGGAGGACCAACTTTGGGCATGCCTGTTTTAGGAAAACCTAATACTTTTGCATGGGAAACTCGATGTTATAGCTCCACCTAGTGACAGAACAGAAGCATTAAAACATCATAGACGTTTAAGGAAGAAAGGTCGTTGTTCTGAACTTCCTTTATGCAGGCTGTATAGCTTAACAAAGCTTAGCTTCAAAAACTTTACTTTACTCATTATGTTTCATTATGTTTATTTACTTTTGTATGTATAAATATCCCATGAAAAAATACAACAACAAAAGAAAAAAACAACTAATGCAACTATAACTAAATATTATACAAAAAGATTAATATTATTTTAGATCTCCATATTGGCACTTACTTCTGGATCATCATTTGCTAGGAAATTAAGTATTCTAAGAGAATAATTCAGTCTTTTCAGACTCCTAGATGCTTTCCATATTTTATAAGATAGTCAAAGCCTCCATTGAACTTTGAGGCTTGAAGTTAATTACTATATTTAATAACTCAGCAGTATTAAAATAGGTCATTTAACTTTAAGAGCACAAGATTCTCAATCTTACATGAAATATTATCCAAAAGATGAAGACCTATTCAAAGTAAAGGATCCATAGGAAACCAAAGGATGGATCAGTCAGCAATCTCATTCCAAGAGCCTTTATGCAAGACTATTCAGACCCCTTTAAACTCTTCTCCATTTTGTCACATTATCACCACATAACGGGCTGCTCAGTGGAGCAGTAAGTAACACTGCTGCCATACAGCAAGAAGGTTCTGGGTTTGATTCCTGGCCTGGGCCTTTCTGCATGGAGTTTTCATTTTCTCTCTGAGAATGTGTGGGTTCTCTCCGGGTACTCCAGCTTTCTCCCACAGTCCTAAAACATGACTGTTAGGTTCATTGTTTTTTCTAAATTCTCCTTAAGTGTGATTATGTGCATGAATGGATGTTTGTCTCTGTGTTGACTGTGATGGACTGGCGACCTGTCCAGGGTGGACCCCGCCTCTTGCCCCTAGAGGTAGGCACCAGCACTCCTTGTGACCCTGCTTGGGGTAAGCATGATGGATACCATGAAACATCAATGTATTTTAGTTGGATTTACTAATACTAATAATTATGAAGTTAATGGAAAATTATACAGGAGTTTCTTTTTTTCTTAATTTTTAAAAATAAAAATCCAACTTATGATGCAATTGATTATTGGCCTGAACTTTGACTGGGTACTTCTAACACACTTTAATCACACCATTGTGTTGATTGTTTGCGGTCATTGTTTCTCTGGAAGGCGAACCTCTGCAATGAAAAACCCCGCTTCACCAAGTATTTTCCCTGTATTTGATTGCGTCTGTCTAATAATGGTGTTTTTGTTAAAAACCATTCTAGAAAGACCGGATTTGTGCCGCACATGGCTTATTGATGTCCTGAGGATCTGCAGCAGTTACCTCTACTTTTCTTATCTGATGTACAGCTTTATTGTTTCAACTACTATCTAAACAATAAAAAAAACAAGTGACACAAAAAATAACATTAATAAACGAGTCAAAGCCCCAGACGTTGGAAATACCAACAGTTTATTTTCTACCTTTTTGTGACTACAGAAATGTCGAAACATTTGAACACTGAAAAAAGCTGGATGACATCATCACTTGCTTCTCAATTTTCTTTCTTCTTTTTTTTTTTCTTTTCAAAATTATTTTGCTTAGCAATCACAACAGATGATATTGCACGGCACTGAGAAAGCAGTAGCAAAACTCTGGGAAACAGCGATGACAAATCAAGTCATGATACATGGAGTTATAATCTGAGGGTATCACCGACAGTATTGCCTCTCTGGCACACGTGCACACTCACACTCGCACCATTCAGGGACGGAAAAAAAAGGAAAGAAATCACTGTGAGTCTAGAGGCATGGGGAGGAGGTGAACCAAAAAGAGATCAGGGGACGGGCAGATCGATAGGATTTTATTTGGAAATGCGTATGAGTAGATATGAGCTGTGACCTTAATAAGATCCTTTATGGATACAAGAACAAATATGCTTGTTTATCAAAACCCTTCAAGCATCTTTGTATATGAATAGCTTGAGGACACCCCTCTTTGGGTGAGAAACTAGTTCCCCAGCGTAAAGAGATCCAGATGATTGTCTTAGGCGCTGCAGTATTGTTATGAGACTTCTAGTCAAGCTACCCATCATATGGGAACTCCATTGGGACAAAATAAATAAGATATAAAGTAAAGAAAAAATAGGTCCACATTGCATCAAATAATTTCAAAATAGATACACTCCTTCTTGGGTATAACTGAACTGCTTGTACTTTTCTGATGCAACATCTTCCATCTTGTGATGAAACGACTGCAGAACCTGATTTCATCTCTTCTGACATTCAGTGCTTTTAGAATCTGTATTGATGATGAAGTGAGGAAGCACCATGAGTGGGATCCTCTGCTCTGAGATGCAGGAGTCAGCTACACACACATGCAAGTGCTTCAGAAACAGAATGACTATATGCAGGAGTTAAAAGAGGGGGGGAGGATAAAATAAGATGCATGGATCCAAGCAGACACCCAAACTTGCACATCTCTGCAAATCTACAGTGTCTGCCTTAACACACACTCACACGGAAATCCCTTTGGTTAGGTTCTTTGCAGTTTATTAGACTTTGCTCATAGTCATTACACGAGTTTGTACCAAAAGAACAGATACTTGGTGGAGCGAGGCGGCGAGCCACAGCAAATAAAAACAGACCCAGCTCTGTGGCTTTGCCCCCTGGCAGACCGGCTGCCCCACCCTGCGCTCCACCTCACCCCGTGGACAAGACAGCAAAGTGAGCAGGGCTTGCAGCCCTGGTTTCAAAATGCTTTCAGATTGTACGCTTAACAGGAGATTCCCCACATGGTAGAGTAAGCTTGCCTACACAGCCCTACGCCTTCTACATTCTATACCCGTGCGAATGGCGAAAAATAACTCAACAGATCTACCTCACAAATGCCAGTGCTTTTTCCATCCCCCGCCCCCTTATACATATTTTTTTGTCCAATTTTTGGTCTGGTTTAAAAATCTTTGGATGTGCAGTATTACCCATAAAGTAACTGTTTTTTTTTTTTTCAGTTTGTTTTTTTTTTTCAAAAAAATTTCAAAAGAAATGTAAAACGTAGACACATTCACACTGCTACCCAGCTGTCCAACAAAGTAGGCCCTATTTAACTTGGTCGGCACTGGAAAAAGGACTGTCCGGAGTTTTGGCAGTGTTCAAAACACACATTGAAATGTCAACTATGATGTGGTAAAAAAACCACCACCAAAACCAACCGGAAAACCAAAAAAAACTACTCCTCCTTAAGATCTAAACATAGGAAATAAAACTGTAACATAACATATTGACTGTCTTTTTGGTTTCATTTGTTTCCCCTCCCCCAAAAAACCCTAATATGTACAAATCTAGAGCTTCTACAAATGCATAAATTAAAGAACCCATACAAAAACGCAATTAAATTAAAATCACAACACAGTAGTAGGTAGAAGAGAAAGTAGGAACACAACATCACAGCAGTTGGTTTTACCCTGTAAAAGCAATCATCTACATCATAATATTGGCATAACCCCCAAATGTCTGATAAAAAATACACTTCTCCCTCCTCCATCCTTTAAGTTTCTCATCAACCCTGAAACTTTGTCCTCTTTGTTTTGAAACAGAGCACTTTTGCCAAAAGAAAACAACAAATAACAGCCTGAAAATAGATTATCAGCTTTTTGAAGAATCGATATCAAATACCACACAGTTGAAGTTCTACCTTACTCACAGATAAGACGTCTTGATGCAGAACTCAAAGGAATTATCACTATGAGGTATTCAGAGACACTGGTAAAAGACATGCACGGCCAGAGTGCTGGACCTTCCTACACACAGCAGAGAGAGAAGGAAGAAAGGTTGGGATAGAGGAGGGGGGCGGGACAGAGGGAGGCGAGAAACTAAGACCTTTGGTTTGATCTGTAGAAGTGGACAACAGAAAAGCCTTTGGTATGTTTTCATTGCATGGTTGTGCCGGTGAAAGCACCACGGTGTGAATCACAAAACAAAAAATAAGAGGAAGAAAAAAAAGAAGAAAGGAGAAAAAAAATCCTTGTCTCTTCAGTTGTGGCCCTTCTACAGGCTGAGGTATTCACAGAGTCAGAATTGAGAGGTCAACAGCGGTTAAACACTTTGGTTCAAGCAAGGCACTCATCCTGGGAGTTTTTTTTGTTGTTTGTTTGCTTTGTTAGAGTTCTAGAAAGATTGCAACATATCTGCTTCTACTTTCAGGAACATGTCTGCCTATAGTTGAATCAGTGATTCTGCCCATGGCTATGTCAGGCCGTCTGCCTGCGGTCATGTGAAGATGTCTGACTTATTAGTTGGATCAATATATGCAAAACTAAAAAGGCAGGGGCCAGTCGAAAGAAAAGAAAGTGTCATAGGGAACCTACTGTACTGTGAAAAACTAGATGTCTTCTTACTGCAGTTTATGCTTTTTACACCTAAATATTTTAGAAGATCTCATCTTTTTTAGATTAAAAAATAGAATCCATGTAAATATTAAACGCAGTTTTCAAATACTGATTTCTTTAAGGAAAAGAAATGTTATATAAATCATCCAGGCTTTTGGGAAAATATACCCCATGCAACCAAAGCATACTTTGGTTTAGTTCCACTAACTTTAACCCCGGATGGACGACTACAGGAAGTGTAGAAATCAGGAAATATAGTAAAAAGATCTCTAAATGAATCGTAGATAAAATATATAAAAGAGCAAAACTCCTGAGCCTTTCTGAAAGAAACAGCTTCTTACAAACTAACTCACCTCTATCAGTAAGGAAAGGGTAACTAAACGACTTCTATTGATTTGACCTTCCAGTTAAACACAGTGAGAACCATCATCCTCAACAATGGGGGGGTGATTGGCCAACAGAAAAATGACTACAGGCTGCATTAACCAATCATGCAGGAGGTCAAACCAAAACACAGAACTACAGCTAAAACACTGCAGCTCACAAACTCATTCTTATTCACCAATAAGAACGAGAAGAGAAATTGGCACCTGATCAACATGCAAGGCTAAAAATGACCAAAAAGAGCACAGATGCCCTTCTCACCATTCAGATAAAAAAAAAAAACTTTCTGTGATCCCTATTACTTTTGGTTAAATATTCACTGTCCTTCTACATCTGGTGTGAAACTAAACAGCATTTCACAATAGATCCACCAGTTAAACCAAGACAGCAGGATGTTGATCCAAATCAGACCAGTAGGACAACATCAAAGATAAACAAAAAACAAACAAATCAAGACTTTTAGATTGGCCCATTGTCTAGGCCTTAATATTCAATTGATTCTACAGCATATGCAGGCACTTTATGATCTGAAAGCCCCCAGAGCTACTGAATTAGAAATAATCCTGCAGAAAAGAATAGGTAAAAAATGTTCCATCCTGTAAATGACAATCTAAGTGTTTAAAGAAGATATACATTTTCCTTCCATATATGTATTTAGGATAACTGGTTATGTAAAGGGGTAGTTCTTTATCACATAGGATCAGACTGGTTTGAAAGCATTCCTCCCTTAATAAACACCATTTGAAAACTGCATTTTGTATTTATCCACTTCTTTATATTTGATTGTGAATTACTTTTGATGATATTAAACTTTTGTAAATGACGAATCAAAAACAGAAGAATTTAGAAAGGGGGCAAATACTTTTTTTCACAGCACAGTGGTTTAAATCCAAATTCTATTTGAAAACGAATTCATAGATCAAGCTAGAAATGTAGCTTCATGCGATCATTTACACATTAACTGGCCACAAATAAAAAAAAATGAGTATGCATGGATTCATTTCTGCTCAAAAAAAGATCATGCTACTACAAATCTACTCTGCAGGCACCTGCATGGACGGTCGTGTGCATCTACGGCTGGATCAGCATGTCTGCCTTTTATCTGCATCAGCAGGGCTATCTATGGAGCTGTAATCGGAGCAAATATTAAGCAGGAGTATGCAGAAAAAGAGGATGCATGGGCTGATTGCAGGTTGGAGGTTCTGGAAAAGGGAGAAGGACAGGCCAGGAGCAAAAACACAGGGGAAAATAAAAAGGGGGGAGAGGTCACATACATCACACTGCTTTGAACACCACTCACAGAGGCCGTGCAATTAGAAAAAATCTTTGGTTATCTTTGGTATCATCAAAAGTGATAGAAATCACATATGGAACTTGAGTGAGGTAGCATCTTTGGTTCACACTAGGAAAAAAAACAAACAAAACATCAGTAGATCTTAACATTTTTTTGTCTCTTGTCATATTTTTGGTTTTTCTCTCAGAGGTGAAGGAGAAGCCGCTTCTGCTTTCCTCTCCTTTGGATTTGTGTTGTGATGAATGTAGCTCTGCTAACCCCAGTCGAGAGGAGGAGCTCAGCTTAGCACATTTAATGCTGTGCCAACCCAAGCCAGGCCCATGTAGTGCTTTCCTCCGAGTGCTCAGATGCATAACCTCCCAGGAGAAGGGAGGAAGGGTAAGGATGTGTGTGTGTGTGTGAGTTGGGGGGGGGGGCAGACTTGGCAGGAAGCTTCTGTAAAGAGGCGGCGGTACGCTTCTTTGTATTCAGGTGAGGAGGTGACATTGCTTTGTAAGCGCCTGAAAGTGATTCGATCATTGATATCATCTTCTCTGCTGTACATCTTTGATGAGGAGATCAAATCAAATTCACGTGAAGCATGTGGGGATGATGGAGTGACACTCAGTGCTGATTATGAAGGTGGTGACACAGTTTGTCCTTAAAAAAACATCAGAGGCTATCTGTCACACACAGAGCCACCAGTTTGTGCTTTCACGTCTAGACAGAAAACACACTATTGAATGCATAAACTAGAGCTGCTGATTTATCTCACAATGCTTTACACATTAGTGCTTTGGCTGGCTGAGGAACTGAAATAGGATGGTAGTAACGCAATTATATTCAAGGTTTGGCTATGGGTAGATTTATAGTTAAAAGGTTTTTTATTTTGTCATAATACGGAATAATATTCTTTTGTTTTGGGGTACAGGGGTGAATAGGTTTCTCAGAGAGCACAGTAACACAAAAATGTAAAAAAAATATGTGTTGTTAAGCATGGGCTGATTATCTATTTTGCTCTTTTCTGCAGGTTATTTATGCTTCATCATTTTATCCTTTGGTTATCAACATTGCATTTCTGGTTATAAAGACTCTATAGTTGCTGAGTTGTGATCCCAGTTGCAGTCCCAACCCTAAGCTTCTGGAGCCACTGAAATGGAACTCTACCCTCCCCCACCTGTTTCTATATACTGCTGCTCAGCTGCCAGAAAAAAGTAATTGACTCATACAGTCATGACAAAATGGTAAAAAGATATTATTTTGCACTATAGTAATAAAGTAGAAACACTATGCAATTACTGAAACTCTTAGTACCAGAAGTTAAATAAATAAGTTAATAACTTATGTTACAGTAACTGTTATAAACATTATTTTAAATGATCAAAAACGGAGTTAATAAACGGATAGATATTTACTTTAAACCTTTGGTAAATACATTAAGTTGAAACTATACTGTTAAAATTACAGTTATCATATTGAGATAATGTCAACCTGCCCATGCTTGATGATCATCTACAAAATATATTCTTTGGTATTTGTAAATGTTATTTCTGCTCTGCACGAGAGGCTTGACACTAAAAGAGCAAAAGATTCTCTTATTTTCATAACTTTATGCTTGAGCATGTTGGAGGAAAGCACCACTGTATGGTTTTTCTCCTGTTTGGTTTGGTTCACACTCTTTGGGTTTGGGTTAGCAGTCTACCAATGGACATTTCCTGTCCCCATCTGTCTGGAATGCTTGATAGAATGACAGACGACTGCACAGACTGAAATACAGACAGACAAACAGACATACAGGGAGTCAGACAGTCCAAGCCACCGGTCCAAACAGAGTTGCAGAACAATCCAGTCGCTCCTGCAGGATGATTCTTTTTTTTCCCTTTAAAGTTGATTGGCCAATCCCACTGGAACTCCACATTCATCCCTGTTTTTTGTTTTTTTAAAGATCTTTTTTTTTTCCAGGCTGTGGACAGCTGCAGACAACACTGCCAGTAGGCTGATTAAACCTCCACTTGGGGACCCATCATTAAAACCAACCAATCAGATTAGAGATAAGGATGGCAAATGATAGATTGATACACAGTAGGGAGGTGAGGGGTTATAGTAAAGCTAAAGACCTGTGTGTGTGTTTGTGAGTATGTCTGTGTGTGTGTGTGTGTGTGTATATGGGTGTGAGTAACGTCTTTTTGCAGTATTTTACACAAAAATATGTTGCTGAAACAAACATTGTAAAGCAGGTCAAACAAGAAGTCTTTGGTTTGTTTTTCATCTTTGGATACTATAAATATCAATATAGTACAGGTTTAAGGGCAAAACGTAGCTTCAAGGTCTTTAAGTTTTCTTTGTTTCTCTGAAATTTTTAAAGCTTTTCCACCGAGGTTGAGTCAGTCCATGAGTTGTTCAGGTCAGTACAACTTCAGGCTTTGGTGCAGGCGTTGGGCCCCGAGTTGACTGCATGACCGGAGCCATCGTCCACCCACTTGTCCAGACTCCGGCGCCTAGCGTTCATGAAGAAGTTACTGACCGTGGCCAGCTCGAGGCCCAGCTGCTGGGCAATGGTGAGCTGCAGCTCTTTGGATGGACGCTTGTTCTCCTTGAAGATGGCATGGAGCGTCCGCCGCTGCACGTCTGTGAACACTAGCCGGGGCTTCTTGGTCACGTTCCCTCGCTCACTTCTGCCGTGATCTTGCTCTTTGCGCTTGCAAGCTGAGAGGGAAGACAGAGAAAGGCAGTGAGATAAGCTCATTTAATGGAAAAAAAGGAATCAGGTCAGGTTGCAGTGAGAGAAATAGACAATGTACGCCTAGAAGACAACAGGCTCCACTTCAATCACTTAGATGTAATAATTAAAGCCAATTGCAGCTGATTGAAAGTGGATTTCCATCAATGTCATTATGGCGCTTTTTACTGTTTTAAATGTGTTACAACTATTTTCTTTCCCAACTGGTTCTGACAAGTTGTTATTAATAGGGTTAGCTGACTCTATTAACATGTGGATTAACACCACTTCAGTGTCTGATTAACAGAAAGGACTCTTCATTTGATCAAATGTTTTACACTCAATGTTTTAGCACATAGGCGGCCATCCTCCCCCTTAAAAATCAAAGGTTGCCTGAAAGAATTGCAATACTCATGGGTCTCTGAAAGACCACACATGGTGACAAGCTGATCTTTATGCCTCTGAGGGCTCTCTTTGACATTTAACAACCAAAAGGAATCCCGCAGCAGTCTGAACGTTGGAAGCTGTGCTACTTGTTTTTTTTGCTTTACCTTTTTTGTTTTCTTTTACTAACACAGCAATTATTGGCAGAAATAGGAAATCACTGGGGGATTTGTCAGTTTTTTACGTTTTTCTTGGAGCAATGTAGACAGTAGGACCTGCTCTACTCACTGATGAGATAAACAGTTACTGAATACCAAGTAAGATTAACAACATTTACCTAAATATATCTAGGTATATGTTGTTCTTTGTTTCTTAGGATAAGATAACTTTAACAGAAGAAGGCAATAACCAAATCAATATTCAATATGTGCTGAAAAATGCTCTTGTAATTCTCCTTCTAAAAATATAATTCTTTCACTTTGTCGAATAAAGTATTTAGGATTTACCTGTTCTGTTTTATATACTGTAAGCCTAGATAAAAAAAAGGTAATATTTGAAATGTTTAGCTATGTTTTATTAAATAAATTAAAGCCCAAACTTCTGGTATCCAGAATGTCCTAAAACCCAAAATTCTATTATATGCTATCATAGAGAGCTCCCCAGCTTCAGGGATACAATTTTTTTTGTAATGCTGGCAAAAAGTTTTTTTTATTTTTTATTTTTTGCCAAAGGCAACTTGGAACTAAGTTTTACAATGCATTGTGGGAAAATTACGTAAAGCTAGAAACAAACAAGCATACAAATGTACTAAACCACAAGTTTTATGACAGTAAAAAAGATTCACTGAGGATATTTAGTTTGCTATATCCCAGACTATAGAAACATGGGTTGCTGTTTTATCTGCTGGACTTGCCTGCTGGAGTAGAGTTCACAGAGTTTCTTTCATAGATTAAGCCAAAATATGAGCTACTATTGATAGATTTTTTTTCCCTTTTCCCTCACCAAGAGCGTATTCATATGTCAGTGCTTCTGAATAAATTTTTGGGTGTAGGCACTGTCTTCTAACCCCCCTGTGAGTCATGGTAAAGGATGGATACCAATGAGCTTGTTTCTACAGCAACCTTGGTTCCTCACCAAAGCTGCCTCATTCATGCTTAGTATGAGACTTTGTTGCAAAGTCAGTGGCACAATGCAAGCAACTATCTACTGTCACCACATGGTCACCCAGGAGGAATTAATACTTAAATTAATCTGCTGGGTTTCCTGAGATAGAAAACTTTTTTTAAAATCAATTTGTTTGTATGATTGGATTGAATGAACTCTACCTTCAGACAGCAGGTGTTGTGAATTGATGCTATCTAAATAAACTGGTTTGATTTGCTGTCTGCCTTACTGTCTAAGCTTGATTTAAGCTTACCAACATTTGGTAAAATTCTTATTAAAAAACGTTTTGTTAACAAAAAATGTGTTTATTGTTTATCAGTGGATTATCAACTCTATGGCTTGACCAAGACACACATTTTTAATGAGCTGCTCTAAGAAACTCCACACGATTAGGTTATACTGCATTGTGCAGACAGCAGGCGTCTGAGCCACGGGAAAGAGGGGCGCTGTCCAGGGTGCTGAAAGTAAAAGACACCGCAGCTTGACAGAAGCATTCCATCTAATCCCCGAAAGGAAGATTTATTTAGGCTACGTTCTCTTTATCCTCTAATAAAGCAAATGTATTAGGTTCAGGTACTTATTAGCGTTTTTTTTCTTCTTTTTTTTTAAACATATTTTTTTGTGCAGTCAAGTCCAGCACAGTCAGGCAAACTAAAGCGCACCAATAGATTGAGACCAACAGGGGGCAGACGCAGCCTGTTAAAAGGACAGAGGGAAAGTCAACGTACATTCACTGGGGGATAATTAATGAATGGCAAAGCTCTTATCACAAAACATTATTTAACGCGGCACTAATCAATAAAACGACTGGTTTAAGAGGCTTGTTAGTAAAAATTGGCAGGACAACAACTGAGTAAGCGATTTAAACGCAAAGAAATTGGCTCCACTGCGTAAAAAAGTGTTAAGTTATAGCAGATTTTTGCCTGAAACTTCGTGTATTAATGCTTGATTTTTTATATGATATTTGTTTTGCTGTATTCCTCTCAAATTAAGCTTAAAATAAGTTAATTTGGTAATATTTCGCTTTTCCTTTGGCATTTTCAATGTGTGCATCTGCAATACAGTGGCCCACACTGGTATGACCATAAAGAGAGGTATAATGGCGTGTATGAGTAGCCCGGTGTCTCCAGTGCTGGTAAATATTAACAGAGGGCTGGAGCCCCTTGTGCTAAGGGTTGCTATAAATCAGCAGGAGTGAAGGCCACTCAGACAGCAGCAGGAGCCACCACAGAGCGGCCACGGCCACGGTGCAAGGAGGAGGCCAGGCCGAGACACAGAGACAGACAGAGGCAGCTTTCCCAGGACACTGGAGGACCTAACAACCGCCTCATTATCAGCCTAATCACACAAGGACAGGCTCAAACAGTACCACTGCTGCTCCCGGCTAATCATTACAAATACGCAGATAACTCCACACACTGAAAACACACACTGGGCCTTCGTCATAGTCAACAAACAGACCTGTGTGTAAAAACATGCGGCAAGTGTACTAAATGATCTGCTTTCATTCCAACTGAAATTAATCAGTTCTAAATACAGCAGGGAATGATCTATTCTATTCTATTCTATTCTATTCTATTCTATTCTATTCTATTCTATTCTATTCTATTCTATTTTTGTAATTGACTGTGTCATTCCATATGAGTGATTGCGTGGGAAAACCAGAAGCGGCCCGAGATGAATTTCAGCAGCCTAAAATCAATAAGTATATCTCATCTACTTCAGCATATGATCAGATTCTCCCAGCAACGGCCGGATCAATAGCATGAGCCTGGGTCTGTTATTCTAAGGCGATGTTTTCTATGTATTATTTGTAGCATTTTAATAATGGACATTTTCTTAAATGCACTGCATTATTTTTAATGCCTTAAGCATTATGATTACATGTTGTTGATTTTGAATCAAATTAACACTTGTCAGAGGAAAGCAACAAGGCTCAAAGAAATAAAGAATTTATGCTTCTGGTTTTCCTTTAATGATACGTAATAATCCAGACTTCGAAAGAAACGCTTATTTCATAATCGATTATGGTTAATCCAATTACAAACTCAGCATTCAGATTATAAGACGTGCCTAAATGATATATAGTTTTGGAAAATGTATTATAAGGATAATAGTAGCCTTATAAAAACATGAAACCGATGTTTTCAGGCAGAAATTAGTTTAAAAATTCTGTTTTCAAAATGCAAAAACTGTAGAAACAGCAGCCGAACCAGATGGGAAAAACTGAAAAACAATCAATTACAC